TAACAACAAAGCCGGCTACAATTGATATTCAAGAATACCAAAACGAACATACACTACACAGCACTCAGGGAAATTTGGGGGCCCCCGACAAACTTTGACTTGGGTGCTCTCGTGATTCCATGTTCTAACACTATGATTAAGGGGTACGGGGGCATCCCCCGGAAAAATTTTGCAATCTGAGGTCCCAGAAATGGTCAAATCCTGCCTTCTGGAAGTCTAGTTGACAGTTATATCTATGTATATTTCACTGCAATTCTTTATTTGGGCCCCTATTTGACTGGGGTTCCAGGGAAAATTGCACCCCTATGGGCAGCCTTGACAGCACCTGCAGTTACGACTATCTATGACAGCTTAGTTTCATAATAACATGACTGAAGAAAATAAATATTTTCGTATTGGCAAATGAAAGGCGACTTACGGGCTTAGGCGTGACAAACCTCTAGAGGAGTTCCAGGGGCATGCACCCACAGACAATTTTGTAATCTAGGCACTATAAAAGGGCATCTCCTGCAATGCGCAGGGACATTCTATAGAATTCTCAAAATTATACAGTAATTACAAAATCTTAAGTATCATTCACTCCATCTTCCAAACCCATAATTATAAAGAGATCTTAGGTGCGAGACTTTGTTCATCTGATGAACCATAAGTATGTTTTAAGTGCGGACGTTCGATAATTTGGCAGTCATCATTTCAATTTCAATTAATGCTGCTCATTGCCTCATTTTCTTGTGTTAATTAACAACTTATCAAAGGAAATTTTATCACTGCCCATTATACATTTTATCACTGCACATTTTACATTTATCACTGCGCAAATTGGTTATCACTGCACACTAAAATTAGGTATGTATTATTGTTTAAATTTGCAATCTTCAGGCCCTTTAGATTCGATATGTTAAAATCAGGCAGAAATAAAGTTGAATTTGTTGAAACTGACTCGCTATCGAAACTTATCGTATTATTATTATTACTTAAATTTGAGTTACAATTCATTGTTGAGTGACTTGCATTGAGTCCATCGAGTTCGTCTCGTTAGCGATTTCAGGGTTTTCTCTATTTGGTGTAGTGTCTCTTCTAGTTGAAAATTTTTAGAATAGTTGTGATGTTGTTGTGGTGGAGAACCAGAAAACTACTTCCACGTAAGAACTTAATAAATCCTACTGCAAGTGAAGCGGTTCCCTTTGCGTTTAGATGCAGCTTACTATTCAGGCATTTCTCATTTATGTTATTATGAAGTATAATATTATAGTCGTTACGAGAACACATGTCTTTGAGCTTGTTATTGACCTCTTCAATTTTATTAGCTAATTGAAGGTCCTTTCTTCATGTGATAGTTGACAAATAGGGCAAGACAACATGGTATAACGTTAACCGAAGCTTTCAAACATTTAATGAAGTTTGCAGAGAGGCTTGCAGATGGTAAGTTTGAATGGAGGTTGCTTCTCACCCTCGGTTTCCTTATTGGGCGTTAAATATGAAACAACGGCATCAGCTGTTGTCACAAGCAAACGTTTACTTGCGTCAACATCCTGCTGATGCAAACATGACAATGGAAGAACTGAAGCAGATGGTCAATTCCATGAGTGCAAATCAAATGGTAAATAGTTTGCAGCGCTATGTGTCCAAAGTACAAGGTACGAATCAGTATTGGTATCAGCGGCTGCAGGAATCGCTGGCCCTGATTGAACAAAAAGGCTGCCCTACTTTTTTCTTTACCTTTAGTGCAGCTGACATGCATTGGCCAGACTTACAGAGGCTGTTGCAGAATGATGAAGGTGCAAGCAGATCTGAGCGAGCACAAGCTGTAATCGACAATCCCCATCTGACTGATTGGTTCTCTATGCAGTGGCTGCAGGAGTTTGTCACACATTGGCTTAATGGCATCTTGGATGCTGAGTGGCACTGGTATCGATTCGAGTACCAAGCTAGGGGAAGTATTGATTGACACAAATGTGCAAAGTTAAAAAATGACCCTGATATTAGAGAATTACATAATAAGGCATGTGTTGCATTCCTAGAGAGTGAAACAACAAGGTACAAAATGTCACCTGATGATTTTGAATTCCTTTGCGGGGATGTGATAAGACAGGGAGAAGATGCTGAGAAGTTGTTAATACAGTAAGAAAAATATTTTCCATATTAATGTTTCCAATGTGTACTGTACGTAGATCAAGCTAACTGTGCAGAATCTGTTGTGGGATAATTGTTTCAATAATAAAATTTTATCCTCCAACAGGCCTTCAAATGCATGTACCGGCACAATACCGGATCATAATTATTGCAGTAGTTACACAATACCGGACTCACTTCTCATAGTCATAACATTGAATTTTGCATTTTTAGAGATGTCTTACTGTACCTCCTCAATATATTGCAATAGCATTTCAAAATACCATTAAAACTGTACCTTGGCATGCTCCCAAATGTTGATATCAACTAAAAGTGTGCAGGTCAAATGTTCATGTCAACTACTGTAAAAAACTAATTTTGTATTGTGCAGGTATTAATTAACCACTGCTGCCTATTTTGGATATTTAATAATATGACTACTACTGTAAATTAAAAGGCAGGATAAACTACTGTACACAACTTTTGCCTAAAATTGTCGCATACAACCTGCTTATATGCACATATACAACTTGAGTGTACTGGGTGAACCAGCACACAACTATGCCTATGACAACGTAAGTGAGTAAATGCAAGTTTAATACAGTGTCAACTTGTGTCCTTGATAATTTACACAGTAAAACTCAAGTTGTACAAGCAGGTGGCATAAGGCAAAAGTTGTGTAGTGTAAATCTGCCTTAATACACAAAACACTCACCAAATATCCAGCTAATAATATATGCAGATAGCCAATCTCCACAATTTTGAAAGGTCTTTCGCCCATCTTTTTTATTATTATGCATATTTTATTATATTATAATACGGTAGTATTAACTTTGCTACATCAAAATTGAAAAAGTAACAATATCTTACATGTAAACAAAAATTCCTTATAAAATTCCTTAAAAGGTTTCAATTTTCCTCAAAGGAATTTTCAATAATTTCTGAAGATTTCATTGGAATATAGGAAATTACATAAACAGAAAGTGGAAATTTAACTGTGGTCATACAGGTTTCACAGGAAAGGTTAGTTAATACTGTAGAATGACACACTAGATGCAGTCCAGCATATTGTTTGAAACAGAAAAGAGTGGACCTGCTTGCAGAATATGCAGATTTGGTTTTCCAAAGCCATTACAGCAAGAAACAGAACTGAGTCTTGAGCTGGTGGTGGGTAAGAATACTAAGTCTGTCTTACACACCAAACGAAATTATTAAAGGTTAAATTCACATAACAGGATGATGATCACAAACTGGCGGGCTAATGTAGATTTGCAAGTCATTGTAGATGAGAAAGCTTGTGCAAGATACATGGCCAAGTATGCTGCGAAAGGAGAACCCCGATCGAAATCAGCGTCAGAAATACTAAAATTGTCTGTGTCCTCATTACAGAATGATGATCAAGTCTCTTCAGCCTTCAAGAAAGCAATGATCCAAGTTGCTGGGGATAGAGATATGGCAGCACAAGAAACTGCGCACATGCTACTTAGTCTACCACTGATTGGCTGCACATTTAGTTTTGTTACTATTTCTTTAGATAACAGCAGGAAGGTTAATATTGATGCAGAAAATGAAGGCGATGAGGTACTTCAAAAATCTGCGCTACAAGAATATATGCAGAACGTACAAAATTGAAGAGTAGGTATACAGGCTTGTCTCAGCTAAATCTGATGCAATATGTGTCACAGTACACCAAAGTCAGAGGTGAGTTGACAAAACAAGCGAATCCATACATTGTCAGGACATTTCCAAAGATTTCCGCTAATCCTGCTGGTCCTGATTTTGGAAAATACTGCAAATATCAACTAATGAAGTTTAAACCATGGGAGGGTCAACCATCAAGTGCTCGGAACAACGAGGATGAAAGTGATCAAATGTTTATTAATGCATATGAATTTTTTCTTATGACAGATGAATTTGCGGAAGAAAATGTGTTTAGGTTAAGGTGCTTAGGAGAAAGAGTTCATGATGCGCAATGTGGTCAAACCTTTGAAAACGATCCAAGTGACAATCAAGATGATGACAACGAAAGTGAAGTTGACCCTGATGAGGAGGAAATCGATGATTGGATATTGTTATGGGCAATTTCACGTTGCGGACATTACATTCACAGAAAAACAATTAATACAAAACATGCTCTGTTTCCTGTTTGCAACAGTTTCAGATCTGGGAACTTTGTCATAGAAAACCTTAAGGGGACCTCTTAAGATTTCATAAAATAAAACAACATTCCCTCGTAATCAATTCTTGTAATAAAAAGTCAAAGTACTGTTGCGGACATTACAGCAAAATCAACCACACATTGAAGTGATGTTTTTAAAATGTAATTTCCTGTGAACTTTGAAAGGTATCAAAGGAATTAAAACACTTCCTGCTCTCAGTGATAATTGGGGTTAAAAAATATGAAAACGAGATGTTCTACAATGCCCTTGCGCAGCTTTTATATTGCAAAGTTTGTGTTTCGGACATTACACTGAAACTGTTGCGGACATTACAATTTTGGGATTGTATAGCAATCTGCATTAAAAATGATAGGAAATCAAAACTGGGTGACTGATTATGCACTTCTGAATCAATGTTTCTAGTCCACATAACAGGCATTCTAGCTTAATTCTATTTACATTTGTATACCCACGGGCGTACCGGGGGGGGGGGGGGGGGGGGGGGG